AATTAGGCAATGAAAACCATATAGACAATAGAACATTGCTCAACTCACTTGATTTGAACATGTCATCAGGAGGGATCAATCACTGGAGGAGGGACCCAAGTTTGGCTAAGTAAAGGGTGAATAGGGCATAAGAGACCTCAGACAGATGGACAGGCACAATAGCCACAAAGATGAACTTATACATGCTGATGATTTTAAGACTGTGGGACCAGGAAACATTTTTGATGAAGTAAAATCGCTGAAAAGATTTCAAAAAGCAGTTCAAGAAGACAACATAAAGGAATATGATGAAAAGTGAAAAGACCTGCAGTTAGAAAACCAAAAGGTAAAAAAAAACACAATTGGTATTTCTTAAGTTGAGAGAAACTGAAAAGAAAAAAGTTAAGCCTCGAACTGAAATACTGAAGGATTCTATTGGCAAAATAATGAACAGCACCGGAAACATGAAAAGAAGATGGAAGAATATACACAACCATTACCAATAAGAACTGCTAAAGTCATTTCAGAAAGTAGCAAAATAGTAGTGAAGAAATAAGTTCAAGCTGCACAGAGGCATTAGTTAAAAACAAGGTTCAATTTATATAGGTTCAAATATCAATTGAAATATATATATGCTGCTGCTGTTGTGTGCCTTCAAGTAGTTCTGACTCACAGTGGCCCTGGATAGGATTTCCAAAAGTGACTGGTGGGTTTGAACAGCCAACCTTAGCAACACCACACCAGGACTCAGGAGATACATGCATGTTGTTAAGTGCCATCGAGTTGGTTCTGACTGATTTGTATACACGTGTTTATATGTGAACACATACACACACTCACATGTATACACCATATACATAGACTTTCCACACTCTTTTTAACAGCTGCATAGAATTCAATTATGCTGTTTTTCAGTTACTGTTTAATTATTAAGGAGTTCCACATCTGTGGAAAGAGAAGATGGAAAAGCTCCATATCATCAGTGAAGACAAGGCCAGGGGCAGACTGTGGAACAGACCATCAATTACTG